GAGAGATGGCTTGATCATTCCCTGTTGGGTTCACTCCCTTTGGGGCACCTGGCATTGGCCACTGTCGGCAGACAGGATACTGGGCTGGATGGATCTTTGGTCTGACCCAGTGTGGCCGTTCTTATGTAAAGGGACTTTGGCTGAGTAACAAGTGGGATGTGGCTGGTTTTGGAGGGGTGTGAAGCAGTTAAGTGAACTGGGGCTATCAGACAAGGAAGGTTATGAGTCAGCTACACTGGTCCCAGCTCTGAAAGCCTTTTCGTCTGCTGCTTTGTTCCTCTAGCACAGCTGAAAGGTCCCTTTGGTTCAAGCCCCTGCCCAGAGAGTCTGCAGCCTGGGGAGCAGAACCCACTGGGACCTGCCCAGTGAGCACAGTGTGGGGGGAGGGGGAAGGTACCAGGCCTGAGACCTGAGGTGCAGCCAGTCCAGTAACCCCGACTCCTCCATCCCGCCAGAGTCAATACCACAGGGTGCGGAGGGGCCCGGTCATGGTTCCTTATGCCAGGCAGGAGAACGCTCCCCTTTGGGTTCACGTGTCCAGGCCAGAGGTGTGGTCATCACAGAGGAGGAGAATCAGCGCTCTGGTCACAGCCAGGCTCATGCTAAAGGTGGGGAAATTGTGCCCCAAATTGGTGCCCTGCTAGGCCTGAATGTAATTTCATAGTATCATAGGACCCAGAACCAGAAATCCCCCCACTCCCTCCTGGGGCAGCCCCTCTGGGGTCAGGGGCATGCCCCATGAATGTACCATTCTCACCTGTCTGGTTTGAAATCTCCTAAAGGGCAGAAGCCCATTACTTAGGGTAAACGGAATATTCCCACCTCACACCTTTATCCCCATTTTACAGATGGGGAAACTGAGGTACTGAACGGGGCAGTGACGTGCCCACGCTTCCCCAGCAATTGGACCCAGGATGACCCAGCAGGCAAATGGCCAAAAGGGGATACAGCCCAGCTTGCCTGGATCCAGACCAGTGCTCCTAGGGAAGGATGCGCCCGAGCTGGCAAAGGAAGGCCTCTGGAAAGAGGGACTCGGTCCTGGCTGGAGATGGACGTCCTCCCCCGTTACCAGGTCTCTCTGACACATCAGCATGGGAGACAGGACACTGGGCCAGATGGACCTTTGGTCTGATCCAGTCTGGCTGGTCCAGTCAGCCTGAACTAGGGCACTGTGTCCCCCTCCATCCCCCCCGCCCCCCGCCCCGCAGAACCTCTGAGTCACTTTCAGGCTCCAGCAATGTGAATGTTTGACCAAAGGAAGCCAGATTCACCCAGGATCAGAGCCCCAGCCTGCAGGTTTCCAAGCCCTCCCCAAGACTGGCTCCCGACACCCACCTGGGCTGAAATAAAGCAGCAGACACTGCCCGTCTGATGCCGGTTTGCTTTTAATGCCACGTACAAAGTTTCCCAAGAGAAGAGACAGACACCAATTTAAAATACTCTCAAAAATAAATTAAGGTTGTTTCTTTTAAACTCCCTTCTGTGCAAAAAAGGAAAGAAATCAGCCCCCCTCTCCCGTAGCTACTTCCTAGAGCCTCGTCTAGGGCAACATCTAGACTGCAGGTTTCTTGTGGACGAGATCTTCCGCAAAAACTTCTTGCACAAGAGCACGTCCACACTGCAAAAGCGCATCGGAAAAGCGATGTGCTTTTGCACAAGAGAGAGTCCACACTGCATGGACGCTCTCTTGCAAGAAAGCTCTGATTGCCATTAACAGAATGGCCACCAGGGCACCTGTGCTTCTTTCCATAGGCTGTTTTTGTGCGAAAACCCCCAGTTTCCTGTCCACACAAGAGCTCTTGTGCAAAAAGGAGTTATTCCTCATAGAAAGAGGAATAACTATTGCACAAAAACCTAGGATTGCTAGGTGCCCGGTTTAGGCCCGCACAGTCTGGTATTTGAGGTCTGTGTCCGGTTAAAAAAAAAACCCTAAACCCAGAAAATACTGGATATGTAAAATGTGGCAGGGGCGGGGAGAGCTTGGGGATTTAAAGGCGCAGTGACTTTTTTTTTTTTTTTTTTTGCTAAAAAAATCCTTCCCCTTTTTTTTTTTTTGCTCAACCAATTTTTTTCCCCGCCATGTTCGGTATTTTTTGCGAAAGTATCTGGCAACCTTACAACCCCTCCCCCTTTTCTTTTGATTCAGAGTAAATTTACTTGCGCAAAAACGCGCTTGCAGTGTGGACGCGCCGCGAGTTTTTGCGCAATAACTCTGCAGTCTAGACGTAGCCTAGGTGTCGAGCGAAGAAATGCACTAAAAGGCAGTCAAGCACTAGGGCCCGGTTTGCATTTTGCAGGCCTCACGTCCCACGGCTCCGGCAGCCCCCGCTGCACCTGTGAATGCCCCTTGCTCCTTTACGCTGCCACAGCTGGGCAAAGCATCCCAGGCAGCCCTCAAATTCTGAGAGCTAGTGAGCAAGGTCTGTATCCTGTAGCCTCCGCCTGAGAACGAACCGGGCTGGGACATGAATGATTGGCGGTGCTGTCCTCATCTTGCACAGAGAACAGACACCCCTGCCCTTGCAAATGCCTGGGGAGCAGCAAATGCCTGGATAAAGCTGCCAGTGCAACCCCCCCCCCCAGCCTCTCTCTTTAGATTTGATGCCCTGGTATGTTTTGTGGCCCCCACTTTAAGAATTCACAACCAAAGCCTCATCCTTCTAATTACAGGGATGGGCAATCATTTTTGCAGGGGGCCACTTAATGAATTTTAGTACATGGTCATGGGCTGGCTCCTCCCACAAGGGGCGGGGCCTGGAGCAGAAGAGGCGGGGCTGGGGACTAGTCTGCCCCCAGAGTTGTCTGGGGCCACAGGCTTTGAATTAAACACACAGCAAAACGCTCCTGGCTCTGCTGCTACGGAGTTGTCTGGGAGCTGTCTGGGGTCGCAGCAGCTATTTAAAGGGCTCGTGACTCCTGCCCCACCATGGCTGGGAGCCATTTAAACAGGATCCTGCTGTCTGAGCCACCTCCTGGAAATTCAGTGGCACAGGAGCAGGATATAAGCAGTCTGCAGGCTGGATCAAAGCGTTAGGAGGGCCAGATGCGGTCAGCCCTGTTCTAATCACAGGGCATGACAGCTTCCCCCCCATCCGAGCCTGTTTCCCAGGGTGGAGGGGTACATTTGCCCATGAGGTGGGTTTACCTCTGGCTCAGGACAACCCATGCAGGCAGCTTAGCTCCTAGGTGAAGAGCCATCTGGCCCTGGCTTGGACCCTTCCCGTCTGTCACTCTAACCACAAACCCGCACCCAGCCCCCTGCAGAGCTTGGGAGAGGACCCAGCTTCTGTTCTAACCACTAGGGAAAGCTCCCTCCCTAGAGGAAAGATGCAACTCAAGAGCCACAGGCGTCCCACACCGTGGGGTGACTGTTTAGCGGAGATGTGCTCACCCCATCACAAGCCAGATGGAGGGCAGATCTCACTGCCTTGGGGGAGTGACGGTTGAAAGCACAGATCCGATGCGAGCGGGAAACAGCCCGATCTGTACTCATCAGCTCGGCTCCAGGCACGCTGCAAGCTCGGACCAGCCCTTTGAACTTCCATTAACCCCCCCAGCCAGGCGAGTGGGGCAGAGCACTAGATTCTAGCCTTGTTCACCCTGCACGGGTGCCCCCAAAGGTCCTGGAAAAAACTCTGACGAGTGACAATGCCACAAGACGAAGATGCACCAGTTTGACTCTCAGATCCCCCCGGCTGTCAGTCAGGAAAAGCTGCCTCTCTCTGGATCTGTGAAGGGAACCCGGCTGACAGCAACCAGCAGGCAAGTCACACAACAGTCACACTGGGAGGGGGCAGAATTACACCTCCACGCCAGATGCAAAGCCACAGCTACAACGTCCAGAATCGTCAGCCCCACTGCCCACGGCGTGATTCCTAACCACTAGGGCTCAATCTGTACCTTGGTCTATATAAAACAGGAACCAAGCAACTGTCTTAACCTGGGTGAGAGTTTACCATATTTCCAAAGTGCCCCTCGCTCTAGGCCAATATATTTTGGGGGTTCAATCCCCATGTCCAGAAGACAGAATCGCTGCTCATGGAAAACTGCCCCTTGGCTTCCCCAGCGACCCCTCCTGAGGTTTAAATCCTCAGCTTAGATGTTGCCTGCACTTAACGTTCAGCCAGGGCACACAAGAAGTCAGGCTGACTCAGATCCAGGGTCCATGTCGTCCCGTATCCCATCTCTGACAGCGGCCAGCCAGCACCAGCTGTTTCAAGCAAGTGGCTGTCTTCCAAAGGAAGAGACGTTCCGTTGCTTCCCTTCCCCACACCTGCTGGACTGTCAGTTGACAGAGCTAAGCCGCAGCTTTTCTTCGCCGGAAGCAGCCTGCTGTCGCCCAGCCCCCGTCTGCAGCAGGGACCGCGCACTGTGCTCTGGCACAAGGCCTCCCGGAAGGACCCAAGAGGTGGCGAGCGCTGGAAGAAGAGTGCCGCAAACAGATCTCTTTGCTGATCAGCTGGGGCAGCAGGAGGAAGTGCATGGGGCCAGTATCAGGGGAGTGCGGAGACCGCAGGGTTTGGTAAGGTGAGCTGGGCAGGGAGGTTTCACACGACGACTCTGCTCTCTCCCCGCGACGTCGGCACACGATTGCTGTTTTACCACTGGGGAAACTGAGGCAGAGCCATGCCAGTCACACTGGCAGACCTGGCCACAGAGCTCACATTTTTCTGCCTCCCAATTGGCTGCTCTAACCACTCAACCACACTCTCTTGCAGTCTGCTACCAGGGGCTGTGGGCTTGTCAAACACAGGTCTGAGCTCCTCTCCCAGCCCATGAACACTGGGGTGGGGGCCTCACTCATCCCCCACTGCTACTATGAACAGTGTGGCAGATTTGCAATGGGATCAATGGTGGAAACTAAGCCTTTAGCTCTTGTTACTGTGCCTGGCACGGGGTGCTAAGACAGACATAGTTCATAGGCCTGGAGAGACCCAAGGGGAAGCAGCACAACGCACCACGGCCCAGGCAGACGAGAAAGGAAGGAGATTAAAACCCTGTAGCGTCAAGAGCCCGCTCTGTCCGATTCCAAGAGAATGCAAGGGCATGACCCTGAAAGAAAGAGCTGAGCCATGCTTTATTCTGGGATAGCGCATCGCTCAGGACTACCAGTGGAGGGCGTGGCAATTGCCAAGCACCCGCAGACAGAATCGATTCTTCACTGTCCTACACCGGGCGCACCCATTTCCACTGGCTCGGCATTTTGATCCCACTCTACACAGGCGTAAACAACCACAGGGCAAGGCAAAGCTCTGGGAATTGAGTGCTACCAAAGGGATCAGCAGTAGAAATCTGGGGAGCGGGTCCAGGCCTTGAAGCCCCTTCCCAGGGTCGCCAGGCGGATCCGATTCCAGGCTCAGGATGTAGCTAAGTGCCCCCGGGGCTCCTTGCAATCCCAGGCTTTCCACATTGTGTTCCTCGCCAAGGGGACGCGAATCAATGGCGAACCCGAGCGGACGGACGCGCCTCTGCGAAGTGGCTTTAACGCCTCCCCCTTTCGCGTCAATGTGCAAGAGATCTCCAAAGCGAGCTTTGCCGCTCAGGCAGCGGAGCCGGACAGTCCACCCAAAGCAGAGGAAGCAAAGCTCCCGGGGCAGATTACGAAACGGCGCGACGCTTTCGTGCCAACGAAAGCCGGTCGATTTCCCACGGAGCTGTGCGGAGAAGCCGGAAGGGGCTTAAACTGACAGATCTGATTCTCCATGACACTAAGGGTCTTTGATGCCTCCCATGGGCGTGGAGGGCCGTTACCCCCCTTTAAAGGCCTCATCATTGGGGTTTCGGCGCGCAGGAGAATCGGGCCCCGAGTCACCGCGCTGAATGATCCCGGTGGAGCTTGCTCAGGGATCACCACGATGCTCCTCCCAGGCAGCCCCTATTAGCTGCCTCCTAAGCCCTTACACGGGCTCCGCCTCCCTTGAGTGGGACAGGGGACGCAGGGAACTCTGCTGGGGCTCAGCGGCGCCCCCCGGAGGAGTGGCCGAGCAAGGTTAACTATTTACATCCCTGAACCGCATGACCTTCCAAACCGCCCCCCCACCCCCGGCTCCAGGGAGGGGGAGGACGTCCGGGGGGCTATGACGTGTGGCACTGGACGTGCGGGCGCGAGGCATCCTCGAAGTCGTCTTCGAAGTAGGCCTCGCCAGCGTGAGGCTGCCACCAGTGTCCCGGCTGGGAGAAGTAGTCGCTCAGTTCCACTTCCTGCATGTTCTCCGTAGCCATGACCTCTTCCTGGGGCGGGAAGAAAGCTCGGAGCTGGCGGAGCCGGTCGGGGGGCAGCCAGCCTGGCTCTGGGAATTTCACCTGGGAGAGGCAAAGGGAGATAGAGCCAGGCCTGAGGCACAATGGGGCAGGGAGAGCGGAAAACTCCCTGGCTCTCATCCCCATCTCCCCAACGCCCGGCTCTGCCCTCATCCTCCCTCCTGAGGGAAACGACCTCCCCCAGGTGAGTTACTGAGGCCTGGATCCTGGATGTGGTCTCCTAAAAGCAGAGCTGCTGCTAACAGCCCTGAAGCAGCAGTGGGCAAGAGATGGCCTGCAGGCCGCATCGGGCCTGCGAAGCCGTTTGAGCTGGCCTGCAGCCGCCCTGCCACACCTGCTCCCCCAGGCCAACTGAGCCCTGGCGGCGGGGGAGTGCGCCAAGTCCTTCGCTGTTCGAAGTGGCTGTTGGCTCCCCCCCCCCGCCAGGGGCACATGGTGCCTAGAGGGAACCGCCAGTCATTTTGAACAGCAAATGACTTAGCACTCTCCCTTGCCCCCAGGACTCAACTGGCCTGGGGGTGGGGGAGCACACAAAGTCTCCTTCCCCCACCAGGGGTGGGCGGTACCTAGAGGGAGCCAGCCCTTCCGCCTGAAGCCCCACCCCTTCTACCTGAGAACCCTGCCTTTTCTGGGCGGAGCCAGCCTGCAACCACTACCCACGATGCATGAAGTGGCCCTCTGCAAAAATTATTGCCCACCCCTGCACTGGAGTCTAGTTGGAGGCAGCAGCTGACTCACGAGCCCCTGATGTGAAGTGGGCACTAGAGGGAGAGAAAGAGTCACGAGGGGTAAAACCCACCATCCTCGCTGGGCAGAGATGGCAAATCCCGTTTAACCAGCGAACTGCTTAAATGCAGGGGGGAGGGGAATGATCTCTTCCCGTGGGCAGGCTGCCGGTTACCTGGTTAACCATTCACATCCCCAGTGGCTAAGCCAGAGACCTTGCAGCTCGGTCTCTCCCTGCAACCTGGACCTTCCCACTAATTTGGCTGCATCCCACTTCTCCCAGAGCAGGGCGCCTCTTACAGGCGCGGCTCTGGGGCTCAGATCCTCACAGGGATGGGAAGGGGGTCTCAGTAGCTGTGAACCAGCCCGGAGTCATCAGGGATGGTCTAGACAGTACTGGGTCCTGCCATGAGGGCAGGGGACTGGATTCGATGACCTCTCAAAGTCCCTTCCAGTCCTAGTGGTCTATGATTCTATGAATGGGGCTCGGGCCAGGGACACCAGGTGGGGATCAGCCCGGTGGCCTCTGCGGCTCCTTGGAAAATGCCCCTCCCTGCCCCTCACCTGGAAGTGTATGACAAGCCGGCCCTTCTGGGTGGGGTTTCTGTAGACGGGCATGCCCTCGTTGGGAATGCACTTCACGGATCCTGGCCGGATGATGTCACCTATGTGGGATGGGAGGGGGGGAGGTGTGTTAAAGCCAGAACATTTCACCCCCGCGCAGGACACTGGTTTGGGAACTCATGTTGCCACAGCCTTGCGGGGGCGGGGCAGCTCCCTGAACGACCCCCCTGGCTTGCAGGACTCCACCCTGCATCTGGAGCACAGCTCAGGAACGACAAATGGCTCTTTCACGCAGCTCCTGCCAGAGGAGGTTATGAAGGCCAAGACTTCAACAGGGTTCAAAACAGACCTAGATAAATTCATGGGGGATAGGTCCATCCACGGCGATTAGCCAGGATGCACAGGGATGGTGTCTCTCGCCTCTGTCAGAGGCTGGGAATCGATGACAGGGGAGGGATCACTTGATGGTTCCCTGTTGTGTTCTCTCCTTCTGGGGCACCTGTCGGAAGACAGGATCCTGGGCTAGCTGGTCTGACCCAGTCTGGCTGTTCTTAGGTGATCAAGAGGAGCATCTCAGATGTCCACAATAACACGATCAAGGTGCTGGGGAGATGGGGGGGATCCCTAGATGAGCCCCCACAATGGTCTATGTGATGGGGGTGCCCAGCTGCAGGGCTTTGCTGGACAGACCTTCAAAGGAAGCATCTTATGGGTCCAACGTGCATTGGGGGCACAGGCCATCTCTAGCGGGCTGTCTGTAGGGTATGTTGTTGATTCCACGTGGTCACATGTAACCCGAGTCACATGACCAGAGGCCATGGTGCCGGGCACACAAATAAGTAAAGGTTAGGCCTGTCCAGAGAGGGTGGGTCTCACCCTCATGCGACATGGAGGGAAACTGAGGCACAGAGCAGGGAAGGGGCTCTCAGAGTTCAATGGGAGAGGTGGAACTAGAACCCAGGTGTCCGGTCCTCCATGCTTTAACCACTTCTCTCTCCAGCCCAGGAATGGAATCCGGGAGGCTCGATTGCCCCGGGTCGCCATCTCACCTCGTGGCGAGGAGACAAGCAGGGTCCTGTTGTCCAGAGTGTGGACGACTTGCCGGAAGCCGCACAGAGCATCCACCAGGCTGATCTCCTTCCGGATGATCAGGTCGTTGCCGATGCGCCGGAATACCGGGTGCTCCTTCTGATCCAGGACAATGACCACATCCCCTGGCTCTAGGCCAGGCACCTGGTCCCCTTCCTCGTGGAACGTGATCCTCTGCCCATCCTGCATGCCTGCAACACCAACCCTGATCACTTGGTGCCCTAGATCACTCTACAGGCTGGTTGTAAAGGTGCCTGTCATTTTGACGTTCAAACTACAGACGCCCAAAAACGCCTTCACCCAGCACCGAAATGCAGCCACTTCTGGGGTGAAGCACAGCCACTGATTCTCAGCCACACAACGGCACAGGCCAGGAATCTCTTATGACAAACTACAAGAGGAACTTCTGGAGGTGTGAAAACACTGGGAACCGAAGATCTGATGGAGCAGATCAGAAATAGCAATCTGAATTAGAACTGGCTCTTTGATGCATCTCCCACAGTTCTTGCAGCACATATTAAAACCAGGGTGTAAAAATCCTGTTTAACTGGTTCAACAGTCCGGTTAACCGATTAAAGGGAGACAGGCGGCGGGAGGGCACTCCATCCGCCCCACTTGCAGTGGAGGGTGGGGGTGAGGAGAGGTGCTCCAATCTGGGGGACAGTGCTCCAAACTGGGGGGCTCTTCTGGACCTGCACAGGGCTGCTGGCTTCCAGCCTCAGGTGGACTGGGAGGTGGCAGTCCCACACGGGGTGGGAAGGCCACAGGTGGGGGTCTGCTCCCAGGTTAACCACTACCCGGTAAGAATGAGCAGTTCAGGGTAATACTTACTGAGTAATGGGTTACCCATTCACATCCCTAATTAAGACAGTATGATTTAGTTATTAACCCATCTCAGTTATTAGCTAATGAGGATGCTTTCACTATGTTTTTAACCAATTAAGTTATCAACTTGCACAAAGTTATTCTCACAACAAAGAAGTTAATAACAGATACATTAGTACTGTCCTGTAAGCTGTGTGCTTGTGCAGCAGCTCAGGAGAGATTCCAATGCTGCCCAGCTAATTAGCAGAGTGCCCACAGCTACACTGTTTCTACGGGTGGTGCACATTTGCATAAACATTGGTGCAGATTAAAAAATTATTCTGCACATAGATGAAAAAATGCACATGTAGAGGGAAAAGATTGGAGGGCACATTGCTGTCCTGTCATACTGATTAAATATGACTAATAGATCAATGACCTGGGGATCACAGTGGATGAGAAGCTGGATATGAGTCAACAGTGTGCCCTTGTAGCCAAGAAGGCTAATGGCATATTGGGGTGCATTAGAAGGAGCATTGCCAGCGGATCCAGAGAAGTGATTATTCCCCTTTATTTGGCTCTGGTGAGGCCACATCTAGAATATCGTGTCCAGTTCTGGGCCCCCTACTATGGAAAGGATGTGGACGTATTGGAGAGGGTCCAGCAGAGAGCGACCAAAATGATTAGGGGACTGGAGCACATGACCTATGAGGAGAGCCTGAGGGATTTGAGTTTGTTTAGTCTGCAGAAGAGAAGACTGAGGGTGTGTCTAGACTACAGGGTTTTGTCAACAAAAGTGGACTTTTGTCGACAAAACGATACTTGCGTCTACACTGCCGCTGAGTTCTGTCAGCATAACATCGACAGAACTCAGCAGTTTTGTCGATAGCGGTAAACCCTGTTCTACGAGGAATAACGCCTTTTGTTGACAGAGTTCTGTCGCCAGAAGGCGTTATTGCATCTACACTATCATGTCGACAAAGCGGCTTGCTTTGTCGACAGAACTGGATGTAGTCCAGCCGCTCTTTTGTCGACAAAAGCCTGTAGTCTTGACGTAACCTGAAAGGGGACATGAGAGCAGCTTTCAAGGACCTAAAGGGCTGTTACAAGGAGGAGGGAGAATAATTTTTCTCCTTAACCTCTGACGATAGGACAAGAGGCAATGGGCTTAAATTGCAGCAAGGGAGGTTTAGGTTGGACATTAGGAAAAACTTCCCGTCAGGGTGGTTAAACTCTGGAATAAATTGCCTAGGGAGGTTGTGGAATCTCGCAGGTAAGACAGACACCTGTCAGGGATGATCACTCTATGGTCCTGCCATGAGGGCAGGGGATGGGACTTGATGACGGCTCGAGGTCCCTTCCAGTTCTAGGATTCTGTGGTTCGATGTGATTTTCTGGCATCAAGAAGTTGTCTTAAACACTGGGCAAAAAATCAGGGAGGACAGACAGTATCCCAGGGCTTCACAGGAATAAAATGATCACACTGGTCACCATGCAGCAGGGGCATGGCCTAAACAGGAAGGGGAGGGGCTACCCCATATTGGCTTGGGGGCAGGGGAGCAGTAGGGCCTCCACGGGCTGTATCCACCCCTTGGTGGGCTGAATCTGGCGCACGGAGGCTCTTTTGCCCACCCCTGACATACTGGGATTTTCATCCAGGGATCTCCAAGCCCTTTGCAAAGGCATCGCTTGGCCCTGAGCACAGGACGGACGCACACAGGGGATCGAGGACTTGTCCAGCCTCACGTGGAGAGAATGCAGCGGAGGGCTGGGAGCAGAAGCAAGAAGCCCAGAGTCCTGCGTTAAGGCCACAGGACCATGCTGGCTTGTGGGTGCAGGAACAGAACCCAGGCTGCCTCACCCGCGCAACCCTCTCTCAAGCTCCCAGGACCCAGACAGCGTCTTGGCCTCACCTCTGTCCAGGTGGACATTCAGGATCTTCTTCTCCCGCGTCACCCTCCTGCCGTTGCAGGTGAGGCAGCGATCCAGGGGCCGGACCCACTCGCCCTGGCCCTGGCACTGCGAGCACATGGTCTGGATCTGCTGGATCATGCTGGGTCCCAGCTGGTGGACGTGAAACTCCATGCCGGTGCCGTGGCATTTGGGGCACCTGCTGTTGACGCCTTCCCGGACCCCGCAGCCTGTGGGTGAGGGAGGGGAGACAAGACAGAGGGTGTCAGGCAGGGCGGAGGGTGGTAGTCTCGGAGTCAGCACATTGCAGGGCTTTGAGGGGCAGCTCCCGCATTGCCTCTAAGGGCAGGGTAAACAGGCGCACGCCACAGACGGCCAGGAGGCACTAGCCAGGGATCTAGGAGCTCTTGGCAGACGAGGGGAGGGGTGGAGCAAAATCCCCATCCTTGTTGCCCATCTAGTGCAGTGATTGCTCACAGGCTGAGCTGGGGGGTGGAACCCAGGAGTCCTGACTCCCAGGGCTGGATTAACTCTTCAGGGATTGGGGCTACTAGATTTATGGGGCCTTCTAGGCTCTGGAGTGGGGTCGGGGTGTAGGGGGGGGCTGTGGGTTGCGGTAGGAGGGTCAGTACGGGGGGCAGAGGAGTGTTCCCTGTAGGCTGAACGCTTGTCAGGCTGCCCAGGAGAGATTTAAATGCCACCTAGGTGATTAGCAGAGTGCCCATAGCCGGCAGCCTGTGTTTCTACTGGTGGTGCACATCTGCACCTGCCACAGTGCACACAACATGATTTATTTTGCACAGGGAGGAAAAATTAGAGGGAACCTTGGCAGGGGATGAGGCTGCGGTCAAGGGATTTGGAGTGTGGGAGGAGGCTCTAGGCAGGAGGTTGGAGTGCGGGGGTTTGGCTGGGAGTTTGGATCAGGGCTGGGGTTTGGTGGGAATAGGGCGAGGGAGGGGGTTCAGGGATGGGACAGAGGCATCAGTGCAGCTCCCCTTTGGTGTGGGCAGAGAACCAGGTGGCTCCGCACAGCCCGTGTTTGATTGCAGACAGCGCCCCCCCCCCCAGAAGCTCCCATTGGCTGGGAATCGCAGCCAATGGGAGCTGCAGGGGTGGAGCCTGCAGGAAAGGGCTCATTGTGGCGAGGTGACTCAGGAGGGAAGAGGAACGGCAGCACGTGGACCCAACTCACTGCCAGGTAGAGCTGGCCCAAAACTCAGCATCCAGGGACATTAATGGCTGCAGCTTAAAGGGGGTCCCCTCAGCCCAGGGCTGCAGCTCCTAAAGCCCTTTTCTTAATCTGGCCCTGCTGACACCCAGTCCCCTGCTCTAACCACTAGCCTCCACTCCCCTCCTAGACCCAGGAACAAAACCTGAGCCTTGACTCCCAGCCCCTTGCTCCAGGCTTCCTCTCCACATATGCATGGCAGAGTCTCCGTAACCTGAGAGGCAGACCCAGTGAGAAGGGCTGTATTTGAGTATGGCAACGCCCCTCCCCACTTCCCCAATTTCAGACTGCCCCTAAACCAGGGTCACGCCTGGTGCTGCGCCAAATGCACATGGGAAAGAGCAAGTCTCAGTAGGCGCCACTCCTGTTCCTCATCGGATGGGGCCTGCAGGGTTAAAGCTGCGCACTTCCCCCCTCCTTTGGGGCCCCGACTCTTGCAGGGCCCCAGATCCAGAGCCGGAGGCTCACTCACCATTACACTTGCTGCAGATGATGTTCTTCTGCACGGACAGCTTTCGGGTGGTGCCGTTGTAGAGATCCTCCAGGGTCACCGAGAGAGGGTGCACCACCGTCTTTCCTGACCACAGGACAGAGAGAAACCAGACGCCCATCACGGACATGGCTCCACCCCTATGACTCCCCACAGAGACAGCAGGCTCTCCTCACCTCCCGCCATCTCCAATGCTTTACAAGCTACATCCATACAGAGATCGCTTTGCCCAATCCAGACAGGCAGCCCCCTCTGGGGTGGAAAGCAGCAGCTGTTTGACAGAGAAGAGCAACGCTGTGCAGGGATGACTCACCCAGCCCTGACATGCAGCCATTTCTGGGGATGGAATGTGGCAGCCATTTAAAACACATCCCGCAAGAGGTTAGTATCAAAACCGTCCAGTCCCCGGGCTAGCTGCACCCTGGACCCTCTCCTGTCTCTGAGGGCGCCGATCCAGGTGACATACCTCTCCTGCTCTTGGACTGGATACCTGGGCTACAGTTCTGAAACCAACCCTGAGAGCAGGTCTGATTGGGTTTGAGCCATGTAATTCTTCCATTCAAGAACCACGGCCAGTGGTCAACATAGAGTCCAGACAACTGTCTTAAAACTGAGTATCATTCAATCTTAACAGCAAACCAGGAAATGTGTGTGTGGTGCGGAGGGGGGAATTTCAACCCAACAGTCAGCCTACAGACCCCTCGAAATGGAGGAAGGCCCCATGAAGGGGAGGTGTCTCCCTCTTGGAATACTCGACAACTCACTGGCATCTGCCCTCCCCCAGCCAACGACCTTGTAGCTGGGTAGCGATCTGTCCCCTCCCTGCCTTCGCAAGAGCCGGCAATTTCAGCACCGTCATGACTAGTGCATGGGTTTGGTTTCTTCCCTTCCTGGCCTGTTTACCGGGTGGCTCCCAACCACCCTGTAATTAAGCTGACCCACCTATGTACCCAGTCACCATGGCCGTGTAGTCACATGGTAATCCAGTCCCATGCCCAGGTCACGCAGTCCTTCTCATTTAATCAGAGCGCCCCTTTCTCCCTCACGCCCTGCAGTTAATTGAAAGCTCCAGGGGAATTTGGAGAGTCAGGGTGTAATTACTTGAGTGTGAATTTGGACAGCAGCCCAGAGCTAACCCCTCCGGTTGCCGTGTGTCGAACCACACAACACAGGTTCCTTGCTATGGGGCTGGAATGAACCTGAGGGGGGAGGGCTCCATCTGAAAAGGGGCCACCCAGGCAACACAGCGCCCCCTAGGGCTACATGGCGGGACTGGAAGAGAGCCCTCCATAGCCTCTCCATGCGACACCCAGGGGCTGTGTCTACACTGGCAAGTTATTCTGGAAAATCAGCCGCTTCTCCGGAAAAACTTGCCAGCTGTCTACACTGGCTGCTTGAATTTCCGCAAAAAGCACTGACGATCTAATGTAAAATCATTAGTGTTTTTCCGGAAAAGGGCCAGTGTAAACAGCACAGTAGTGTTTTCCGCAAAAAAGCCCCGATTGCGAAAATGACGATCAGGGCTTTTTTGCGGAAAAGCGCGTCTAGATTGGCCACTGACGCTTTTCCGGAAAAAGTGCTTTTCCAGAAAAGCGTCCTGCTCAATGAAACAGCGATGCCTTCCAGTACGGGTGCGTAATGAATGCGAGTGGTTCACGAGGCCCATTCGTTGAACTGAATATTCTGAAACACCAGCTGAGCTCTCTGTGGCTTTGTCTACCCCGATACAGCTCTTAGCAGCACAGCTCGCTCTGCACCCTTAAACATTGCGCAGTGGAGCCGCTGTTTGCTGTCTCTCTTGGGGTGTGACTAGACTACACTCTTGTCGACAAAAGTGGACAGAACTATACCTGCGTCTACACTACCGCCGCATTCTGTCAACAGTCGACAGAATGCAGCAGTTTTGTCAGTGACAGTAAACGTCATTCTACGAGGAATAGCTCCTTTTTTCAACAGAGTAATGTTGAAATAAGGCTCTATTGCATCCACACTGCGCTTTTTCAAAAGAAAGCGTCTACACTCTCTGTTGAAAAAGCGGCTTGCTTTGTCGACAGAAGTGGCTGTAGTCTAGACACTCTTTGTCGACAGAGGCTTTGGCAACAGTATCTGTCGCCAAAGCCTCTGTTGACAAAAGCCTGTAGTCTAGACAGAGATTCTCAAGGAATCCTGTCCAGGCTTCCACCAATTTAAGGCAGCAGCTAATCACAGCCCATCGTAGCCTTCGCTGCCTAAGATACCCACCTGATCCTCAGCTCAGCAGAATGACTCTGGACTCGTCATTCCTTTCCCAGCTTGCCTTCAGCAGTGCCGATATTAGGGATGTGAAGGTTTAACCAGTTACCTGGTAAGCTTCACACCCAATGGGTAAGGCTTCCCGGTTAAGGTTAACTGGTGGGGCTGGAGCAGCCCCCTGCCTGGGCCAGCGGCAGGCTGGAGCTCCCCCCTCCTGCGCCCCCTCCCTCAATCGGTTGGGCGGTAAAACAATATGTTTAACCTGTTAGCCACTTAAATGCGATTTTACATCCCTGGACGATACACCACATCAATGCAGCCTCTTGCTGCAGGAGCTGAACCTCCAGGGTGCCTCTCAGAGCCAGCCCCCCTGTCTCCCTGAGCACCTGTCCCTCCCAGCTCAAGATGACCTCAGAGCTTAACCCTGGTCTCCAGCATGTGTAAGCCCACCCCATGCCACCAGCACGAACCTCTCTCTATCCCAGGAACCCATCCCAGGTACCTCTCCTCTCCCCCCGGCCAGGCATCCGCGCCCCTCCTCCGAAGAACATGTTGAATATGTCCATCGGGGACCCGAAGCCTCCTCCTCGGCCTCCCACGCCGCCTTCTTTCATGGCCCGCTCGCCGCCCCGGTCATACAGCGCCCTCTTCTGGGTGTCTGACAGCACCTCGTAGGCTTGCGAGATCTGCTTGAACTGGGGAAAGGCGAAGAAAGTGAGAGGCTCCGCCTGGCCCTGCTCGCCTCCCACGGCAAGGGAACCACTGCCCTCGCCACCTACCCGCTCTCCTTCATTGGGGTTCTTGTCGGGGTGGTACTTCAGCGCCAGCCGCCGGTACGCTCGCTTGATCTCGTCCAACGTGGCACCCGGCTTGACGCCCAGAAGGTCGTAGTAGCCCGTTTCTTTCACCATCTTTCCCTTCTGATGTCCTGGGGGAGGGGGACAAAGCAGGTTCCAACAGGGCCCAGTGCTGGCGCTGTACACAGCTGCTGGCTCGCCTGGACTGCTGCACTTATCTGAAGAGGCTCCATGCCCAGAGCTGCCAGACTAACATACCTGTATGGCCCCCAATACTACAGTATCTGAATACCTCAAACTCTTTAATCCACGTGAAGCAGGGCTATGCTATCTTCATTGTAAAAATAGGGAAACTGAGGCACAGAGAGGCTAAGGAACTCACCCAAGACCATACAGGCTGTCTGTGGCAAAGCTGGGAATTGAACTCAGGACTCCCAAGTCCCCATGGACATACCCCCGCCCATGGGACTGAGTGGCACTGTGACCCTCACCACAAAATGGCCCCAGAACAGGAAGCTGAACCCAGCCCTACAGGACAGGAGCTGAGTCAGGTTCACTCTGGTCCCTGCCCATGGGGAGCCTCAGTTTCAGATTTCACCCCCCGAAAGCCTCGGCATAGCCCTGCTTCTGGCCTTGAAATCTACTGATCAATGCCAGTGACGATGGTGGGTTTGGCCATACAGATCCTGGCCTGCTGGGAACTACAGGGCCCTCTCCAAATCCACCGCACACCCAAGCCCGCAGTCAGGAATGAGTTTTCAATCACTGGGGATCAGGGCTAATGAAGGACAGTTCTCTGCATGTGGCAAGGGGCTGGACACAGATAGGGCTAGGCTAGTCTCCAGGCAGGGCGTGGTGGGGGGTCTGCTGACCTAGCGAGTACTGCAGCCCGTGTCTTTAAATGCTGGGGTGCAGGAGGTGAAGTGGGAACAGCTCTCAGTCTTGGGAAGCCCCTCCCTTCCTGTGCTCCCCTGTTGAATCCCTCCCCCACACTTCTTTCCCAGCTCCCCTCCCCCGCAATCCAGGGTTGCTAAGCCTGGTTAGTGCCTCCTACCAGCCTGCCGGGGCTGGCACACAGGAAAGGCTCTTGGTTCAGGTCATTAGCAAAGCAGCTACCTTGCCTACAAGCAGCCTGTTGGCCCACAGCAGCGGCACTGACATGGAGGAGCAAGGCAGCTCACCCTGGGCACTAGAAACTCCCCTGCGATTATGTTACCAAAGAGGGTTGAATAACACAGCACTGGCAAACGGTGGCTGCCTGATGCTGCACGCTCCCGACGGGGAACAAGTACCCTCCGCTGCTCTGGAAGTCGAGAGGACCTGAGGGTGCTCAGGAGCTCCCACTCAGCACCAGGCAGATCTCAGACCCTTGACCGGGTGCTGTGCTTCTGGAATCTGGGAGCCGATTTGGAAGCACAGCACCCGGTCTAGGTCAGACAGAGCCCAGCTCGGACTGAGTTGGGCGGATTCCCAGATCCGTGCCCTTGTTACAGACCCCCTGGGCCAGGATCCCTGAGAAATTGGGGGGCTCAGAGTGAGCTACACATCCAGGAGCTTAAGTCTGAACACAGCATGATCTATTCCCTTCCTTGACCCCTGGCACCATCCAATCTGCACATGTTCACATGCAAATGCCCTTATCTTAAAAGCTGCAGCTGGAACCTTGGCTTGGGCCAATTTTATCTAGGGATGTTTAAACGTGTTTACATACAGGGGGGAGGGGAAAGAAGGAAGCTGGTGCTTGTGGGAAGCTAGCTTTTAAGCTGGCTCCCACTTCCCCACACCCCTCTGCTGCCTTTGTATCAATACCAAGGCAGCAAGGGGTGCATGTGTATAGTATAGACTAACTCGGCTACCCCTCTGAAGCTGCAGTATAGTCGTTAGGATTAATTGATGAGCCCAGGCTTATCAGTTAATCATGTAAACAGGGACAGGGTAACATCCCTAATTTAAATTGGCTCCACATCAATCAAATCCACATGAAGCCCCATCCATAGGGGGTGAGTAAGACTAGTGTTTCTCAACCTTTTTTTTATAAAGTACCCCCTTTTCAAAAAAAGTACCCCCAGGACCTACAGTTTTCAGACACACACATTTTTTTCTACCATTGCAACACGTGATTAAACAACTTAATCGTAGTCGGGCGGGCGATGAAATTTTTGGGTGTAAAAAGTACAAAAAGAACAAAGCACTGTAAAACTTAAAACAAAAATTCAGTTTTCTCCAAATTTCAATTGTGTTGACGTACCTGTCAGATTTCTGTCGAGTACCCCTAAGGGTACTCCTACCACTGATTGAGAAACACTGAGTTAGACCCTTACCAATTTCAGTCCTATTGAAACTCAGTTCAAAGGGCAAAGAGACTGCAGCTTGGGCTACAAGTTTCCTTCTAGGGATGTGAATGGTTAACCGTATGCTTCCCCATCCTGGTTAACTGGTGGGGGCTGAAGTGCCCCCCGTTAATTGGTTAACAGGCTAAACATTATGTTTAACCTGTTAACCAATTAAACAGGGTTTTACATCCCTACTTTCTTCCCCAACAACTAGGGCCAGATGTTGGAAGATTCACCCTGGACAGGTTAAACTGGCTAGCCCAGGACCAGACATGAAAGATGGTGAGGCTTCAGGATAACGCCCTGGTGACAGGCCTGACAATCCTCAGCTTTTGGCAGTTTCAGCAGGGTGCTTTCTGTGGACCATGCTGGGGTGTAACAGCCTCAGGCTAGGAGAGACCTAATAAGATCAAACCTCCACCATCCTGCAGGAAGGAGTTTGTGTCTCCTCCTCCTCCTCCTGCATGTGTGGAGGATCTTTGCTACTTCAGTCCTCCCACAGCCTGTGTTTTTAGGGTTCCCGTCTTACATGAATAGCTACTCCTCCTCAGGATTTATCCAGGTCACAGGCACAGGGCTCTGAAGAGCAGTTATGAAACTGACCAGAATCTTGTTAATTACAGTCCAGGCAAAGCTCTCCAGGAGCATCTGCCTGCAAACTGAAGAACATAGGGCTACTCTGTTCCTATTTGGCTGGTTTTTCTTTGCAACTTTAAGGGCTGTTAAAATGAAAGCTGAAGGTGTTGTAGAGGCTGCGGGGAAAGGCACCTTCAACTCAGGAGCGTTTGTGGGGGTTTTTCCCAAGAGAACACTGGGAGTATATCAGGACAATCCTGTCCACAGATGCTCGGAGACTATGGTGCTGAGGAACACACAAGAACCTAAGTAGACTAAAACAGCCCTCTCTCCCCACAGCGGAGACCCCCAACATCTGCAGCACAGAGCTAAGCTTGCAGAAAGCAGAGTGATCTTTTGCTCGAGTTAAGCACTGCTTCAAACCCAAGCTAGCTGGCTCAGCATGACAGGGAGCTGAAATTGGGGTGCTGCTGATGAAATGGGGACTAGCTTGCTTGAGTTCTCTCATCATGCAGCCGTTCTCTTTGAGCTAGGCTCACTCACATTGGTACAAACTCCTCTATGGACTAGGGATGTGAAAGGTTAACCAGTTACCTTCACTCTTAATGGCTGAGGCTTACCAGTTATGGTTAACCAGTGGGGGCTAGAGCAGCCCTCCACCCCCTATGGGCAGGGAGCTGCTCCAGCTCCACAGGGCCTGCCACAAGAAAGGGGTGCACCATGGGCAGCAGAGCTCCGCCCTGGCCAGAGCAGCCCCTGGCCGCAGTGTGTATGTGGGGCACTCCAGCCTGGCTGTGGCGGGGGGTGTTCCAACCCAATGGGGCTAGAGTGTTCCCCCTATTTCATTGGCTAACCAGTTAAACATAAAATTGAACCGGTTAACTAACTAAATGGGATTTTACATCCCTACTATGGACCCACTTATATCCTTTCAAAACTGGCTAGGTCAGTTTAACTCATGCATGTAAATCTACCCACAGAAGCTAACGCAATACACTAGAAAAGAGTTCGCACCCAGTTACACTGGTTTAACTAAACCTGACACCGGCTCCACTAAATCTGTTTTGAAAAATGCCCCTTTCATTAAACAGAGCCACTGTGCGCCTCGCCCTGGCACGAGCCTAGTCCCAATGGCACCGTGGCACAGAAGCATTTCTGCACTGGCCTTCTCAGCAGCCAGGCCAAGGGAAAGGCAGAGCTGCCAAGGTAGGGGGAAGCCAACTAACCCGAGTTAACTCTGCAGGGAGGACAGGCAGAGCCCTGGGGAGGCAGACCCCAGCACAGCAGTGGATTTAGGATTGCGGGGAGGGGTGACACCACCCAGAACGGATTTTTCTAGACACCCAGCAGAGGTAGCGCCATCCGCCCCATCCCTGGAGGGGCGCGTACGCCCCACCCTCTGCTCCAGGGGGCAACAAGGGACCAGTGGCCAAGGGGGAGGCTT